GGTGAAGGGTTAAAGGTATTGGCTCGGCATTAAAATAGTAGAAATGCAAAATAACTACACTTTACCATCAATATAAACATGTACTGGGTTCAGTTTTTTATTTTGTTAAGGACTTTTGTCATAAATCATTACAGAAAATCCAAATCCTCTCCTCCAGACAGTGAAGAGCTGTGTTTCGCATACGTCGCTCCAGCACGTAAAACAAGCTAGCTGCTATTGTGAATCGCTGTTATTTGTTTACTTTGATGCTCCTAATTATTATGTAAAATTGCGTTTACAGCTGCAGCAAAAGGTCTGAGCCATGTGTTTGTGTCCTACACGCGTTTTTAAATAACAGGTCTGATCTAAAATAATAACATACATCTATAAATCCATCTAGAACTGCACCGCTACTTCTGGACTCTAGACAGTCCCGTTAGCATGACTGCAGCAAAACTGCTAACCGTGTTCGCTCCGGTAAGGAAAGAACAAGTCCTTTGGGAAAGCTACCACACACACACAGATATAATCTAAAAGATGATCTTTAGATTTCAACATTAGAACCTCCATGACATCCTGCATTAGTGCAAATAACGAATCTAGCTAAGGAGTTACTCCAGCATCAGGAAGATTTATTCTGGTAAATTGTCGGTTAAATATTTTCCAGAGTTATATCAATAAATACACACAGCAGTAAAACTGTAGATTACTGAAGCATATTGGGACACATGATGGAGCTAAGACCATCTGAGAACTTGTCAGCTTAGAGCTCCCAGTGGAGCACAGAAATGAAATATTTAAGAAAAGTAAACAAACTGTACCAATTTTGGTTCTGACGATGAACAGAATCCTCTATGTCCAAATTGGGTCTCAGGTCTTCTGAGTCAAACAGTCTAAGGCCCTGTCCACACGTAGCCGGGGATCTGCCAAAACGTAGATATTTTTCTACGTTTTGGCCTGTCATCCACACGAAAACGGAGTTTTTTCACACGAAAATGGATCTTTTTAAAAACTCCGGCCAAAGTGAAGATCTGCGTTTTCTCCGTTTTGGGTGACTGCGTGTGGACATACAAAACCGGAGTTTTAAGGTCCGCAACGTCACTTTCCGCGACAAAGCAATGCTGACATCACGTGTGCGACCTGTGTTTACACTAGCCGGCATCATGGAAGCCTTCAGAGCTAAGCTCTGTCACTACCCGATCCATCAATTGTCCAAGCACTTTCTGCTTGTTTGTTTTTGCAAGCGGAATTACTGCTCCTTGCGGAAGACCACAGACGAAGGACGAGGTTAAGAACGGGGGAAGTACTGCCGCCTACAGGTCTGGCATGTCCTTAACAACGTATTTATCCGGGTACGTGTGGACAGAGTTTGTTTTTAAAACGCGGTGGTGTGGATGCAAGTTTTTGGAGGGGCGGGTATTCGTTTTTAAAAAACCCCGGCTACGTGTGGACTAGGCCTTAAACATGTCTGCACCTCTGGTAGTGATATCCAGCTGGCGGGGTCGGAGTTCGGTTGAACGTCTCCGGTAATCCAGTATCCGTTCTCGTCGCCGTATCCCAGAGAAAAACCAAATCTGGCCGACTAGTAGAGGCTTCAGAAGCTACATCTGATTGATGACACATTGTTCTCTGCTATAACGCTAACGCAGAAACACCGGAGTCAGGTGTTGTTTACTACAGCTGTTTCAGCAGAGCTCCATGTGAAATGTCACCAGCTGCCCAGGGCTTAGCCCGGAAGTTAGTTTCTGTTTTTCCTGCGCCGGTCACAAACATCAGATTTTCTTACAATTCCAGCCGTCAAAATCCAAAAACCTTTGGTTTTAATACACATTTACACATGCTGTTCAAACGAATTTTGCCTCTGGCCGATATCTTTAAATGAGTGAGTGAACCCACTACCAAGGATGAATTCTGCTAACTTTAAAAATCAGCTGCTCTAAATAAGCATGAAGGTCAGAGAGGAGCTCTAGGATGGACGTGGATAAAGGAACTGTAATGTAGAGGTAAAGTAGGGCAGGGCCAACGTTAACAGCTGTCACGGTCCATCTGAAATGTTTGACTTTCATTTAGCTTGTTATGTGACAGGTTAGAGCACAGTCTCATGTTAGAGTTTTGTCATGAGAACATTGAGATACCTCACATGCTGTTGGCATCTAAAAATTAACATTTTTTCTTCAAAATAAAGAATAATTTTAATCACAATTGAAACGTACAATCCTGGAAAAACCTCGTCCAATCAATGTGCACATCCTGTTCTCACTGATTGGATAGAAATCCTTCAATCAAACTGTGTGTGTGCCCGTGCACACACACACGAGTGTGTTGTGAACTGGTGTTGTGGTTTTGCACTGATGTAACCATCTTTACGCTGACAAAAATGTCACTCAGTAACATTTACTTTGATTCCAATTTATTTACGATACTTTTTACTTTTACTTGAGTAAAAATTTAGGCAAGTGCTTTTACTTGTACATGAGTAAAAATTATCTAAGTACTGGTACCTGTACATAAGTAGGAAATTTTAGTACTCTTTCCACCTCTGCAGATACTTTTAAATATTTTGTCCATAGTGTTGTTTTATTTTGATTAGTTTAAATCATGTGATAAGTTTTATAAGATGTTACATGAACATATCTTCTTTATTTTAATCAAAACAAACCTTGGTGAAGTGTTTTGGCTTGACAAATGTCTCTGTTTAGTTGTTTTGGGTAATTCAAATTTGTTATCTTCAGCCTCCAAAGGTGCTGTGTTAGAGGATTCAGTGCTGTTAGCGATTTGTGGGAAACCAATCCTCCCAATGTCGTTTTTCAAAGCTGCTGCCATTGCGACACATGGTAAATGTCACGTGTCGTCAAGGGGGGGATGATGTCACAGCAGCATTTTACAATCTACAAAATTACCTTAAAATTTCTGTAAGTAATGTACAATTTGTGCAGAACACAGCCCTCTGGGCAATATTTGCCCTAAATGAGGTGTAGCGTGGTTAATCTACATACTAGGATTTAACACTGTTTGCTTCAGTTTGGTTAGATCCTGAGAAAAGATCGGACACGTTAGCATATGAACTTATATTATGCAAAAATATCTAGGATATTAATGCAATCGATAGACGTTCATACACTGACTGTTTTGGTCTATATTTTAAACCAAAGATTAATGTTTAATTTAAGATAATTAAATTTAACAGCAAAAGTTTATTTATTGAATCAGAAGCTTAAAGGAATCTTTGCTTATTCAGTAACCAAAATATACACCATTCTGTGTTTCATTTCAAAGAAGTCAGGTTTTTAAAAGTTAAGAATTTATTACTAACACTTTTAAAAATGAAAATTTGAAATGACAATTTGTAACAGCTTGATATTAAAACTTGTTTTTAAAACAAACTGGTGTCTGGATGAAAAACTAAGGTGGAATGCTCAGGAAGAACTCACATTAGCAGATTACATGAAAAAGGTGTTGTCTACTAGAGGAGTTTTGGGAGCAAATGATCTGCTCTGCTCCCCCTCCGTTTTTCAGGAACAACAAAAGCTTATTAAACCTGGGGACTGGGTGTTCATAAAAGCAATCAAAAGAAAAAACTGGACAAGCTCTAAGTGGGACGGTCGCTTTCAGGTCCTATTGACCACTCTTGCTGCAGTAAAGATTGCTTGGATTCATCGGTCACATTGTAAGGTACAGAAGGAACTAACAGGTGACACCGACAACATGAGGGTTTTTTTTTTTTGTATAAAATGGACCATAGCTGGCCTGCTGTGGTTCCTGGTGGTGGTGTGCACCCTGCTTCTGGTCCTAGAGAGTGTACCTGAAGGGCGCAGAAGGAAACGTGCCCTCATCGAACACCTCTCACCTCTTGACAAGTGGTATAAAATGGCTAACCTGACTGCTAAAATGCTTGGTTTCAACACAAGTTATGGGTGCACCTTCAGCGTAGTGCAGTGTATATTGTACTTCTAACCCCGGCTTTCCACAGGAGCCGTCAGCAGCACATTACTGCTGCTGAACAGAACCTTTTCCACCAGAGCCGTCAGCAGCGCGAGTCGGCCGCGTCTCAGGAGCAGCATTAACTCGCCGGTTCTATTTTCTACGCGCGACGCCTCTGAACGGGTCAAGTTCGACATTTTTGGGGAAGGAAAGACAGGAAATCGGACGCGGAAATGGAGAGAAGCTCCCGAGATTTTCAGAATAAAGAAACCTACTGCCTTTTCCCTTTGGTTTAACATCAGCTTTTACTAAAACCTGCTTCATATGCTGCAGAGCAGGATAAGTGTCTTAGTGAAGTAACTTCAGGTTCCATTAGGGTTACTCCCGCTTTCCACTGGAGCATTTCAGAAATGGAACCGCAGCAAAGCATTCCATGCATCTGTTCCTGCAACGTCGCCAAATGACCAGAGAATCATAAGATCACGTGTGATTTTGTCAAATAACATCCAAAAGCAACACCGCTCATGCCTACCTTTGTTTACCTTATTATGAAGGACACCGCATATTAAACTCCGCCCACAGGATCGGGGATTTCCGCATTCCCGAGAAGTCCTTCGGATTTGTTTGTGAACACTACACCACCCGTTCGAGACCGAACTCACGCCATCCAGCCCCACCGAAACGCGACCGTGCCGATGCCAATATGTAAGCTCCACATGATGGTGACCAACTGCTGTGTCCTTCGTTACTCGGCACTTACGCACCTGGTGGAAAGGCCTGGTTAGGAGCATTGTTGAAATTAAGCTGGTGTCACAGGAGCAAAAAGGAGAAGGAACTAGAAGCTGAGTTTGAATATAAAGAAGTGGAGCAGTGGTTCTCAATCTAATGCCAAACTTTCAGCCATTTTACCTCTGCTCTTCAAATCCGTTTTGATGGTCAAATTGATGCACATTAGTCCTCAACACATTTTTCACACAAACCCTAAAATAACTTTGCCCTGTTTGAAATTAAGCGCTTTCTTGGCACTGGAAGTGGATGGGCGTGACTTAGAGCCAACACGTGTACCGTTATCTTTGATGGTTTTGAATTAACCACAAGAGTCTCATCAGAATTTTTTATTAACTTCTGACTTGGTATATTACAACAAGGGCCGGTCCTTGACTGTGATTGGTCCAACTGTTCTCTCCTCTTCCAACGGAGTACCTGAAACAGAATTATAAACCATTAATAAGGGTGACTACATTAATCAGTTCAAAGGTCTGACTTCACTCATGGCTCTTTTACTCTGGTCAGCACAGCCTGGTTGTGTTGGATGATCTTCTCAGTAACGTGGACATGGACGGACGCCACTTAGTACAGGAAAGTCTAATGACATTTGTGAATGCCAAAGTAAACTAAATCTTTCAGATTCCTCTGGGCCCCGTCCTTGTAAGCAAGGACAGACAGGTAGTCCACTTACTGTTGCTCTAAGACAGATTCTTCTAGGTGGACACCTAAAAAAAATGCTTCCAAATGAAAAGGTTAAAAAAGTGCCATGGCTGTCAACTGTTCGTTTGGGTTCAGTCAGGTGCCATTCTGTGACATCACTTCCATTTTTAAAACAGAAACTCAGTGCTCAAAAACACCACCATAGAAAGACATTTTAAAACTAGTTATTTTTTTTTGGTACCATTGAGTTCAGTACCTGTTGTCCCAAGATAAACAGCACATGTGCTGGAGCATTATGTCGTTCGTCGCTACGGGCGAGATGTAAACAGCAAGCAGCATGGTAGCTTGGGTCTACTTCACTAAAGGCGATGGGTGACTGGGTAATGATGGCAACACTGACAACATTCAAAGTGAGCCATCACCTTAATCTGCTCCAGCAGGTAAAAAATGTCAGCTTGATACTTTAGCTTCCATTGCTATCAGCTAATGGTGCTTTCATACGTTCATTCGCTCCTCAGAATCAGCTAATGGTGCTTTCATGCGTTCATTCGCTCCTCAGAACTCAAATTCTGACTTCAAGTAGGAAAAATCAAGTGTTTGACAATGAACGGCAAAAGGAATGAAGGTGCAGAGTAAATTTAGTTCACAGAAAAGATATTTGCTTCAGTTTCATTTGCAGTTTATAAAACTACAAGGACCCACCATCGTACCATTCGTTCAGAGGGGGAAAGGAGTGCATGGAGCTGGGTTAGAGTTTACAAAACATTAAAATACAAACAGTTTGGTATCAAAGTTTGTTTCAGTTTCATTGGTAGTTCATGATGTCCTCATCAGTTATTCCAGAGGGTATAGAGGAGGAATAGGAGTACATGGTACTGATGTGTCAGTCGCGAACGAACACCAGGAGCCGGCACTATGAAGTGAATGACAGGAGCCCCCCCGCTTTGTGCAGCCTCGGCCTGGCTAACGAACACAAACAGCTTATTTTTTGTGTGTAAGGCATAGCCAGCCACTCATTTAGTACAGAATTATGTGGTTGAATGACACATGAGGCCACATGAGGCCTTCTACTTCGGCAGAGAGCCCTGACGCGTTGTGCCCCCCAGTGATAAGGATGTTACAGGGTGGTGCTGGTTGGCTTTGCTCCTACCCAGTGTTAGCAGGTCACTTCCTCCAGCTTTTCCACAGTCTGAGTCACAGCAGGAACAGAAGTGATTGTTGCCACGGGCGTCCTTCCACCTGCTGAAAACAGACTCCTCGTTTCCTTCACAAGTTAGCTCATAAAATGTTAGTGTGACACGTAAAGAGTTTAACGCCTCACCCATCAGCAAATGAACAGTCCTTGTTAGTGTTGCTGAATGCTGATGCAGCTGCTATGGCCCTCAGACTGCAGGTGATGTGAAGCTGAAGAGCAACCAAATGACAGATGTGATTTTTAATGTGGCGAGCAGAAGTCCTCCGGTAATGTTACCCTCATCTCACCATTCCGCTGTTGTCTTGTTCAAAGCTGAACGCCTCAACCTCAAACTGCACCTTGTCATCCTGAGAGCGAGGCAGGAAACGGGAGCTAGAACCCGTCAGCTGACTGTCATACAGACACCTGAACACAAAGAACCAGAAGACCTTTAAACATTTAGGATGAACTAAACCAACCTGCATCAGATGATGCTCTAACACTTCCTCAGCCCACATGGAAACTCGACATGCAAATGAAATTCAAGGGATGCTGTGAGAAAATAGAGGAACTTTGAGAACGTTGAGTCAGAAAGCAGGTCAGCCGCAGGTCAAACTAAAACTAGACTAAATATCAATCATCTGACGTTTGCAAGGCTCAGGAAATGGCAGAGAGGCTACCCCTTCTGTCACAACCTGAGCCTTAAACTGTGTATGTGAACCTAAATCAAATGAGCTGCTGTTTTATGTTCCAACCCTCACTTATGCATCAGACCGACACCAACTAACCAAGGCCAGAAACGCTGACCAGGACACCCTAATAGAAACAAACTAATACCAAGATTTTATTCTAAATTTAAAAAGAATGATCACTTGAACAAACGTACCCACTGTTCCCTAGAAAGGTGTATCGAGGAACCGTGTCGACATTTGGAACCACATTTGCCACGCAGCTGTCCACGATCACACGAAGCGGGCTGTGGTGAAACTGCTTCACTGAAGCTTCAAACTTCATCATGTCTCCCAGCAGGAACTGGGCACTGGGACGGCGCTGCTGCCAGTCATCTGACACAGGGAACAGGATGTAAAATGGGTTCCAACACTTGGGAGGAATGCGTGCAAGCTAAAACCTAAAGCCTACCCGTCATGAGCCTCAGGGAAAAGTAGAGACTTTCCTCGGAGTATTTGTCATCACCGAATGGGGACCAGGTTGGCTTCAGCAGCCCGCTGCTCACATCATGCTTTCTGGAAGGAGGGAAAACAGTTGACCCAAGAGACATTCCCAAAACACAGATGAATAAAAACCAACCTCAGGTAGTGACACTGAATACTGACGGAGACCTCTCGCCCTCGAATGATGGGACTACTTCCCAGAGGACTGGGGGAGTAGTGTAGCATAAACTCATAGGTGAACGTATCGTCGGACATCTGAAAGAACCAATACGTCAAAATTTCATTGAAAACCCTCTTTTTCAACACCAGTCAGCTGATTTTGTTAACCATTTCAGATTCAATTTCCATTTGCCCAAAAATCTAAAAACCTGTAGCAATGAGTCCTCTGCAACAGTGATGAGTCTGTCGTGAAAAAACTGCTCTTAGGGTCGGTGGCTTGAAGTGACTGATCAGAGCCAGAGTGAGTTACAAACACCCCCACATCCTAAATCCCAAAAAATCTCCACGGAGGTTTCCTAAATCAGTTACAAACCGAGAGAATGCTGCAAAGCTGAGCGTAAATGGAGGAAATGTACTTCCTGATCACCATCAGTCCTACAGACAGCAGCTGCATACTTACAACCAATTTCTTTAAAAAAAATATTTAATTGCATGAAAGCTGATGTACAGAATTGTTAACAGCTCTTAATATCAGGTATTTTTCCCAAGTCACTGAAATCTGCTGCAGTTGAACAACTTCTGAAGAAAAGTAAACTACATCCCTTAGTGATAAATAATTAAACCCATTTCTAATCTGCCGTTTATTGGAAAATTGAAAAAGCAGTTATGACCCAGCTTCCAGGCACAGTCCATAGTTAATTCCAATCATACCTCACAGACGGGGGTTATATCACTTCCATTGGTGAACACAAATCAAACCAAATCACCCTGACATGCGGTGTCCCCCAAGGCTCGAATCTGGACCACTGCTTTTCAGTCTCTACGTGCTCCCACGTCATAAACAATAACACCGCCTACCATAGTTATGCAGATGTCAACCAGATCTACCTAGCTCCATCACCTAATGAATCTGGTCCCCTAGACGCCTCTCCGTGCCTAGAGCAAGTTAATGCTCTTCCTTCAGTTAAACCAAGACAGGATTGAAGTTATTGTCTTTGGAAATAAGGATCGGATGAAGGGTACTGCTCAGCTTGGCTCCACAAGAATAAAGACAAATACTCAGGTTAGACATCTTGGCGTTACCTTTGATTCAGACCTGAGCTTCGCTGGTCACATTAAAGCTATGACTAGATCAGCGTTTTATAGTCTCCATCAATTAGCAACAGAGGTCTCATGTCAAAACAAGACCTAGAAAAACCAATTCATGCATTCATCTCCAACAGGCTGGACTATTGTCTAACTGGTCTTCCCAAAAAAGCTGTAAAACTGAAACTTATTCAGAATGCTGCTGCTGGAGTCTTCAGAACCAACAGGACTGAACACGTCACCCCTGTTCTTATATCTTTACACTGGTTTCCAGTAAACTACAGAATCAACTTCAAAGTGCTTTTACTAGCTTATAAATCTCTCAGTGGCATGGGGCCAAAGTACATGTTGGATCTCCTTCCAGTATATACACCCAGCAGGACTCTCAGATCCTTGGGAAACAGTCAGCTGGTAGAACCGGGCCAGAACCAAACAGGGTGAAGCTGCTTTTAGTCACCATGCTGCACACAGATGGAATCAGCTTCCTCGTGGCCTCTAATGTGTCCCAGCCCTAGAAACTTAAATCAATTAACAAACCTTCATGTATTCATCAGCCTTTGAATACGTGTTTCTTATGCTGCACCTTCTGCACTGCAACCCTTTTGACTATGGATTTAATCTGTTTTATGAATCTGAAATTAATATCTACATTTCTTTGATTTATTGCGTTTGCTCAACACATTCTCACGTGCGTGGAAAACTAGAGATGGGGCAACCATCGTCAGTTTAACACTTCAGGTGTGAGAATGAGTTTGCTGGATGGACGGATAAATTAAACTTATTAAATTTAGTTACAAGATTTTACCAGTGTACAGACATGTCAGACAACTGTTATTAATTCAAAGACCAATAAATTCCGAACAGCATCTAAATAAACAGTCACTGGTTAAACAAAAAAAAGGTCAATTTTGTTTAAGAAAACTGGGATTTTACAATGAATGTACAAACTGCTCAAATAAAATAAAAACTACATGCAACGAAACAATGTAAAAACAGCTACTGAAACTGAGCAAATGTTTGTTTTTTAAATTATTTGCAATATGTTGTAATTATATGTTTACAGGGTAAATTTTAAGTAAAAGTATTAACTAAATGAAAAGATTCCAAATCACTTTTTACAATAAAGCTTTGTTAACACTCCAATAGATAAATACTCATTAGAGCAGTCCAACATAACTAGTGATTAACCCCGAACATAGAATTATCACCTGTATGATACAAGCATAGCTGTTTAAAAGCCTTTGTTACATTTCTGTTCTGCAGTGAAAATAAATGTAAAATTTATGTACATGAAAACAAATAGTTTCCATGTTTGATCAGTTTGTTATGCCTTTAAATCCAGTTACATGGTTTGTAAATCATAGTCCTCATGTCAGTCTGCTGAAGAATCTGCCATGGCTCAAACTGTTTATGTACAGTTTTTGCATATTAATTGCAAAATATATTTTTCTGTTGCTTTAGTGTTGCAACAACATCGTATAATTATACCTCACATTTTACTACAGCATCAACAAAGCTTCCTGTGCACAGATTATTAAGAATGCATCGTTTCGGCTGTGAGATTAGACGACAGGATCAATGAAAATAAAGTCCGTCTCAGTGGAAACAGAGTCTGCCGATAGTGGCTTTTAAAGTGTTTGTTACGGATTAGAGAGTTTAGAAAAGAAGCCAGGAGACCGTGACAATATTATAAACATGTCAGTAACGTCTGCGATGGACTGGCTCTCTGTCCAGGGTGTACCCCGCCTGATTGCCCGTTGACCGCTGGAGATAAGCGCCCCCCACCCCACCCCCCCACCCCCCGACCCTGCGTGGACAAAGCGGGTTGAAGGGATGGATGGATATCAGTAACATCTGCGATGTTTTTACAGACTCTTTAATTCTCGTGGACAGGTCATGAGTCAGTGGATTCTGGTGGAGCCCAGTGACGAGGGGTATTCCATTTTGTCTTGGCCCTCAAAATGCCTTGAAACGGCCCTGGGTGTGTGAGTTTTGAAGGTGATCTGAAACGTTATATGAAGACTACATGTGATGTGTTAATTATAACTTTTGGTTGCACCACTTTGAGAACAGGTCATATTACACTGCAAACCAAAAGTCTTCTCCAAGCCTGGAGGCCTACAGCCATTTATTTCAGGTTGGTTTAACCATCTAGTGATCCAGGGAAGCTTCACATGGCGGTAGTCTTGTTTTTGCTCAGGTAAATATAACCCATGAGAATGCTCACTAATGCTAGTGACACATGTTTATGTGATAGGATTTGCCTCTTTAATCCACATTTCTGGGATGTTTAATGGGGTATAAACACCACATTACAACACTAAGCTAGTTGCTAAAACATTAGCACCCTGAATGCTGTTTGTGGTTTCATGGCTGTGATTTAAGTAATCGTTTAATAAAATGCCACAGACATTTAGTCATCTCTACTTGCTTGTGACGTATTACACCAGCTTTTCTCAGAGCGAACCACTTCTCCATAACCATTGCATCACTAAAGATTCCTAGAACCCCCCAAGGCACTTAGCACATTTACCCATTCACATCCAGGTGGTGATTAGCTATGTAGCAGCAGCTGCCCTGGGACACACAGGAGAAGCTGTTGAGCACTGGCGCCACCAGCAGGCAAGGCCAGTCAAGTGCCTTGCCCAAAGACAACAGCAACATTCCCTGACAGGAGCCAGGATCCACCCTACAACCTTCCATCACCAGTGAGTGGATCAGGTGTGTTGGGGCAGAAGAACAAAATATGCGGCACGGAGGCCACTCAAGGACCAGGATTGGACACCACTGGACTTCAACTCACCGTCAGCTGGCTGCCACAACCATGCAGCTCAGACTCAAAGATCAGGACTTGAGCATTAGGATCTTCTCCTACAGCAGGACACCCTCCCAGAGTCACGTCAGAAGACAGAACAGGTCTACCAGTTCCCAGCAGATCCTTCTTGGCCTCCACGTGAACCGAATTTTCTCCACAAATGGCAGCGATGCTCTCGACGGGCTTTGGAGTTCTCAGTTCAAAGTCTGGAGGAAACCGAGGCTCCTCCTCGGCGGGTGGCTCAGGGTACCTCCAAGATAAAGGTTCCCTGAAGTCCTGCTTCACTTGTTGGACAGCTGAAATGGAAGAGGTTGCTTTCATTAGGTTAACACTGCTGGTAACTTTGAATAAAAGCATCTTCCATGTGAAATATAAACATTTACTTTAGTGATGCACCGATATGAAATGTTGGGCCGGTAACAGATACCGATAACCTGACCATAATGCTTCTAATATCAGCAGATTTTGTTAAGAATAAAAATTATTAAAGCTGAATTTATACACACACACACACACACACACACACACACACACACACACACACACACACACACACACACACACCCTCACCCTCTGAAACAGGCAAACAAATGGAGACGAGATGGAAAAAATATTGGGTGTCATCATCTCGCTGGTTTTATTTATTGAACCGATGCTGATATTGTAGATATATTGTCCATCTCTAAATTTCTTTTTTTAAAAGTGTCAGAATAACAAGATCTTTCCACAAGCTTCACTCTGTTTCTTGTAAATTAGATCTGATCATTAATTAAAAGTGATAGAAAGCCATAAGTGTCCAAATTTTTCTAAATGGGAGAATCTTCCAAGAACAACCTTGGTCCCAGAACCGCCGTTTGTAAAAGACTTAGCCTAAAGTAGCCAGAGTTTAGAGTTTAAGGAGACTGTAGGTACAGACGGGGCAGAAACATGCGTGTCTGAAGAATCAAACCAAATGTTTGTTTCATCAGAGAGAGGACAGAAAAAGCCCCAATATCAGGCCTCGAGAGGATCACAAGTTCTTAAGCAACATCCAGGCAGGTTAAAACATGCATGGAGCCTAATAAATAACCTAAATGTTCTGCTTGATCTGATGAGTAATGACAAACAAGGCTTTTAGGAGCATAGATGTTTCAGCTGAAAGCATGAAATCACCACATTTACCTGGTGGTGAGTGAGCTGGAGGCTGGTATGGACTCTGAGGTCCAATCCGGCTGGCTGAGTGAAAAAGGTTCTGCTTTATCTTCTGAGCTGCTGCTGCTGACAAAGCTCCGAGAAACAAGCAGAAGAAAATCCTAATGAACAGCATGGCAGCAACCTTTGCTTGTTTGTTTTGAAATCAATGAGAAATCAATCCTCTGTAGAAACAGGCTTGTGTATGCAAGAAGTGGCTTTGTAGAGTTGGTCTCAGGCCCTGATTATCCTGATGCTTCTCCAGCTCTGTCTCGTTAGGCAGCTGAGCCACGCTTCAAATGATTACAGATCCAGCTTGAACTTGGCTTGTCTTCTTCTTCTTCTGTTGTTTATTTGGCAGGTGGCAACCAACTTTCAGGTGCATTTCTGCCACCTACTGAATGGGAGTGTGAGTTGAAGTGGGGAGGATCCTACTATAAATACAACACTGTATGTCCTTATAAGAGACTGACCTGTGACTCTGTGCCTGTGTCTGACAGGCTCTGGCTGCCTGTGCTCAAGTGACTGGACTTTGCCTAATGAAACCATTTAGAAACAATTTCATAAGCATTTCATTTCTTTCTTATAGATGTCTTTATCAAAATGCAAGTTTCTACTTACTTGACGTTCTGAAGCATTAAAAAAACGACCTGATGTCTGCCGTTTTTCGTTTCTCTGCCATTTCAACTGACCTGGTCTGCTGACAGTTGGACAGTAACACACACACAGATGGGATATTGTCATTAGAACAGAGCTGGAGGATATTGATCAACAATAATATCTTGCCAATTTTGTACATCTCCATAAGCATCCTTTCTTTTTGTTTTCATTTCAATAACAAGACTGTGGCCTAAAACGGAATAAGCAATTCAGAATAAAGATTTAAAAGTAGATTGTTAATAGTTGAAGCAACGTGTCCTGAAATGTGGACGGATGCAAAGCATTAATTTTAAGTACTAAAACATATCTAACTTTTTCACAAGAGAGAGAACATAAAATGTCAAATTAAAATTTTATTAAATCAAAAAACATGAAAGCTACTAAAATCCAAATAGTTCCATATTGATTTTAATATATTTGAAATTTTCCTTCTAAATATGTCTAGAAAAAATAACAAACTTCAAATCAGCTTTCCCAAGTCAAGTATCAAAATAACTGAAATCTCTTTAATAAATCATAGAAATGTTTGTAGGCTATTAGAGAATAACTGTAATATTTAATAACTTTATCTAAGTCCTACTGAATGAAAAGATACACACAATCTAAAATTATATTCTTGAAATATTTGTTTCATTTTAATAATAAAAATTAAAAACATTTACTTTACAAATACACTAAACATACTCTATACTTTATCTTTCAGTTTAATCGATCTCTCACTTTTCTCAGTTTTCATAGTGTTTTTGGTCTGTGTGGCCAACGCGATCTTTGGCTCTATGTTTTACACTGAGAGCTTTGAGCAACGTGCCTCCACCACACATTTGCTGCAACCAGTTCATCCCTAAGCTGCACGGTGCGCCTGCACTTTGACATATTGTAAACAACTGCAGAGCCTGGGGAAGACGTGATGAGAGCGGTTAAACGCTGTGGTTTTCCATACATCGGACCAGTTAGTTTTGATTCTACCATATTCATCTGCTAAATAGGATGAAACGCGGACATTTTCATCAATCTATAAATGCTCCGCAGATTCCAGGGGCCGACCGTGAAAGCGTACGTGTCTGGAAAAAGGAACTTTTGATCACCTTAGTGAATGGAATAATAATAGCGGAATAATCCTGGAATGACCAGAGAACATGAAGTGACAACTATTTTTTTTACTGTGGTGGTGGTGGTCTGTCATAAAGGGATCTCCGACCGGTGATCAAAATCTAAAGATAATTGGTGTCTATGTTTGACATTTATGACCACATTTGACACACATATTTTAGTTTGTAGAACAAGCGTGTGATAAATGACTTACTGCTGGAAACCGCTGGCTTTTTGATTCCCGCCTCCTGTGAGCCTGCGGGCTGCAGTGAAGCTGTGAGCGGGGCAGAGCCGGCAGCCCCGCCCGTTGGAAACAGCGTGTGTGGACCGACCGTACCAACTTGAGGAATTGGGGGTGGGGGGGTGGACTATAATTTCTCAACAATTAAAAACACATTGTTTTGTATTTGCAGACTAACTTTTACGTTGTGGTTTTAGAAGACAATACAGGTTTACTGATAGCATTTATGTGTTTACAATAACTTTTGTGGGGGGGACAACTTTGTGTGTGTGTGGGGGGGGGGGGGGCACGTCCCCCCCGGGATCTCTGCCTATGCCACACACACAAACCCTCAAAGGCTCACAATACTTCACCCCACACCACACGACCCCAACTAACAAGGACAAAACAAAAGCAACAGCCAGTTGAACAAATACAATTAGTAACATAGACAATTATTCCGAAGATGATCGACCAGAGCCCTTCGAAAAGTTGTGAATGATGATAAACAACTAATAGATAAAGGAAGATTATTCCAATCACATGGAGCCTTAAAACCAAAAGCATGTTTCCCTACCTCTCTTTTCACTCTAGGAGCAACAACAAAAGATCTGGTCATTATGCCGCAGGCTGTCAAGTACATGATACATGGTACCATTATTAATGGTAGATTGAACCATTAATATTAATTCATATTAATATTAATTGATATTAATATTAATTAATATTATTGGTACATGGTATCATTAATATCAATGTTAATACTGACATGACAAGTATTGCTGTTTGTGGGCCTTTTATAGTCTCTGGACTGAAACCCTCCTTTATGATGTCACACAGACTTAGCTATTGTGTCTGCCCGGTTCTAGAAGATTCCATTAATTAAAGTTTTTGTTTATTAATAATAATAACAATAACAATACCGGTAATAATAATAATTACAAACACAATAGAACAGTCTGTGTGTGACATCATAAAGGAGGCCTTTAATCTGGAAGATTCCATTAAAGTGTTTTTATTAATATTACTACTAATATTACTATTATTATGAATAATAAATATAACAATACCACTACTACTACTACTAATGATGATGATGATAATAATAACACTTACAAACTGTCATGCTGGGCTGAAGTTTTCTAACCCACATGAAAGAATCACACGAAGAGAGAGGTGAGTAAAATATAATGTTTTTATTATAAAGAAAATAAATGAAAACGAAAAGCGCTGATCCTGTCACGCGAGGGTACACAGGAATAAACCCAAATGCAGGAGACAGGATGACCAGATCCGATACTGATTACTTTTAATAACAAAAAGTCACCACATAAGTGGGAAAAGGACTTCACGGGTAATACAAAACAAAACTACCACAGACTCGAAACAAAGCTATGCTCTAAACACCAGAAACTCTTCACACAACAACGCCACACCATGCACAGGAAGCAGCTGCTTAAATAAATGGTGTGGCAATCAGGAAATTGCAGTCAGCTGCGGCATTCCCCGATGCTCCAAAGAGGGGCAGGAACAGCAGGAAGAGCCACAGTCAACCTACACAGAGAAAGAAAAACACGCATTACAACAATCAGGAGGAGTAACCCATAACCTAACCCCCCTCACAAGGTCCGGCTTCCAGACGGACGACGAGGCTGATCAGGGTTGTCCCGGTGAAAATGGGTGATCTGGTCACGGCACAGGACGTGGCGTTCGGGGACCCACTGGCGGTCCGCCGGGCCGTAACCCTCCCAATCCACCAGGTACTGGATGCCCCGACCCACCCTCCGAGAGGCCAGGAGCTTGTTCACCTTGAAGACCGGGCCACCTTCCACAAGGCGAGGAGCAGGCGGAGCCGCAGGGGGCGGATGCAAGGGGCTAGTCACAAAGGGCTTAAGCTTGCTCACGTGGAAAACAGGGTGGATCCGCAGGGAGCGAGGAAGGTCCAACCTGACCGCCACCGGGTTGATGACCCTGGACACTGAATAGGGGCCGATGTACCGAGGAAGGAGCTTTCTCAAACCCCCTTTCAATGGCACATCTGTCGAGGCAAGCCAAACCTTGTCTCCCACCTTGTAGTCGGGTGCGGCTGATCTCCGACGGTTCGCCACTGCGGTGAACCGTTCCTGATTCTGGACCAGACGAGAGCGGTAATCCACCCCAGTGCGCCGACAGCGTCGTACAAACGCGGCGGGGCCGGAGGCCGATGCAGACCTCTCCTGATGGGGGAAAAGTGGGGGCTGATAACCATAGGCAGCCTGAAAAGGGGAGAAACCGGTAGAGTTCACAAGAGAATTATGGGAATATTCTGCCCAAGGGAGCTGTGAGGACCAGGTCGGGGGGTTCTTAGAGCACATAGCTCGTAGGGTGGTCTCCAAGTCCTGATTAAACCGCTCCACTTGCCCGTTGGTCTGAGGATGGAAACCAGAACTTAAACTGACCGTTATCCCGAGGAGCTTGCAGAATTCCCTCCAGAATGCTGCCACGAACTGTGGACCCCGATCAGAGGTAATGTTCTCAGGAAGCCCGTGCAGTCGAAACACATGTCGTGCCACTATCTCGGCCAGTTGTTTTGCCGAAGGCAGTTTCTGTAGGGGCACAGCATGAACCAACTTCGAAAACCTGTCCACGATAGTCAGAATGACAGTGTTACCTCTTGAACGGGGCAGACCCGTGATGAAGTCCATGGCTATGTGGGACCATGGTCTTGAGGGGATAGGTAAAGGCTGTAGGAGACCTGCAGCAGGGGTTCTGGGCATTTTAGCACTGGCACACACAGGGCACGAGGAGACGAAAGCTCGTATGTCAGAGGACATGGTGGGCCACCAGAAACGCTGAGCCACCAGGAAGGCAGTCCTTGTCATCCCGGGATGGCAAGCCAGGCGTGACGAGTGCCCCCACTTCAGCACCGCGGGGCGTAGACTCGAAGGTACAAACAAGCAGTTAGGGGGGCATCCATCAGGGATTGGGACCGTGCCTGACACTGCACACTTGACCCTACGTTCCAAGGCCCAGCGGTTAGCCCCAAGTACCAGGACAGGAGGAACGATGGTGGTGGTACCCGGGACCTCTGTCGACCTGCAGTCCTGCTGATATTGTCGGGACAAGGCGTCAGGTTTGATGTTTTTGCTGCCAGGGCGATAAGAGAGGGTGAAGTTGAAACGGTCAAAAAACAGAGCCCACCGGGCTTGGCGTGGATTAAGTCGCTTAGCCGTGCGAATGTACTCTAGGTTCTTGTGGTCTGTCCACACCAGAAAAGGCTGTCTTGCACCCTCCAGCCAGTGGCGCCATTCATCAAGGGCTAGCTTGACAGCTAGCAATTCTCTGTTCCCTATGTAGTAGTTTCTCTCTGCAGGATTGAGCTTGCAGGAGAAATACGCGCAGGGATGAACTTTGTTATCAGACGCTCTCTGTGACAACACAGCCCCCACCCCAGACTCAGACGCATCGACCTCCACAATAAACTGTTTGGAGGGGTCAGGCTGTGTCAGGATAGGAGCCGTAGAGAAACGTCTTTTAAGCTCAGTAAAAGCCCTATTGGCTCCAACGTCCCAGACAAAACGTACCTGAGCTGAGGTGAGTTTATGGAGAGGTGCAGCCACGCCACTGAACCCTTTGATGAAACGTCTGTAGAAGTTAGCAAACCCCAAGAAGCGCTGGAGTTGCTTACGATCCGCGGGGACAGGCCAATCGAGAACAGCTTGTACCTTAGCCTCGTCCATCTGCACTGAACCAGGAGAAACCACATGCCCAAGGAACTTGGTTTGTGTTGTGTGGAACTCACATTTCTCCGCCTTGCAGAACAGCTGGTTCTCGAGAAGACGCTGCAATACGGCTCTGACGTGCTGCACATGAGTGTCTCGGTCTGGGGAAAATATCAAGATATCATCCAAATAAACAAACACAAATTTGTTGATCATGTCCTTGAGAACGTCATTTATGAGGCATTGGAAAACTGCGGGCGCATTGGTGAGACCAAACGGCATGACCAAATACTCAAAATGGCCATTGGGAGTATTGAAAGCAGTCTTCCACTCATCTCCCTCACGGATACGAACCAAATGGTAAGCGCTCCGCAGGTCCAGCTTTGTGAAGATCTGAGCCCCCTGAGAAGATCAAAAGCAGACTGTAACAGAGGCAAAGGGTAAGTGTTCCGGACTGTAATACCATTCAGCCCTCTGTAGTCAATGCAGGGCCGTAAGCCCCCATCCCGCTTGCCCACAAAGAAGAATCCCGCCCCAGCTGGCGATGAGGAAGGGCGAATGATCCCAGCCTGCAGGCTCTCCTGTAGGTACTCCTCCATGGCCGCACGCTCAGGGATGGCGAGGGGGTAGATGTGGCCCTTAGGAGGCTGCATTCCAGGCAGGAGGTCAATGGCGCAGTCATAAGGACGATGAGGGGGCAGGGCCTTGGCTCGCACCTTGCAAAACACAGCGGCCAAGTCTGCATACTCGGGGGGCACCGAACTTAAGTCTGGAGGTTCAACAGGAGGGTTAGAGACAGAGGAGCGTGTAGCAGCAGCCGTTAAACAGTTCAGCAAACAGAAAGAGCTCCAGGAGAGCACACGGCCTGAACACCAGTCAATGTGAGGAGAATGTTTACACAACCAAGGAAAACCTAAAATAACCGGAGGCCTCAGGGAATCCACTACATAAAAATCCATAAGTTCAGAATGGTTTCCAGAAACAGTTACCTTAATAGGAACCGTGCATGCTGTTACTCTGTGGATGATGGAACCGTTTATGGCACGGATGAGCAAGGCAGGGGATAAGGGTATTACTGGAATAAAAAGTGCGCTTACCACTTCCTGGGATATCAGATCACCATCTGAACCAGAGTCAATCAAAGTCTCATAAGCATTCTGCATCTGGCCATAGGTCACCAGCACATTGACGGGGGGTCGAGAGGGTGGGGAGGAAGATGAAAACCGACTCACTAGGTGCCCCCCCGCTAGTGAGCCCCCCTGTTTCCCGGACAGTGATGCACCTGGTGACCGGGACGAGCACAGTACAGACACAGCCCCTCCCTCATCCGTCTCCGTCGTTCAGATGCGGGGAGCCGTCCCACTCCCAGCTGCATGGGTTCCACAGGAGACGGAGCCTCACGAGCAACGGGAGGCTGTGACAAGGCCCTGAGGGGTGCGTGTTTAAAATCCGGTAGACGGCGTTCCTCTCTGCTTCGCTCCATCCTCCGACGATCGATGCGGGTAGCCAGCTCGATTAGCTCCTCCAGATCCTCCGGAACCTCCCGTGCAGCCAGCTCGTCCTTCAGAGTGCTGGGGAGACCTCGAAGGAAGACTTCGATCTGCGCCTCTTCCGGACAGCGAGTGTTAGCTGCCAAGGTACGGAACTCCACTGCATAGGCAGAGACGCTACGTCCGCCCTGCCTAAGGCAGAGTAAGTCAGCAGCAGCAGTTCGGTGAGGAGTGGATGGATCGAACACCATGAGCAGCTGGCGAGAGAATTCCCGAAAAGAGCGGCGGAGGTCCGAGCCTCGGTCCCACTCCGCCAGGCCCCACCTCTTAGCTTGTCCAGTTAAAAAGCTCATGGCGAAGGCTACTTTACTTTCTTCAGAGGGGAACTCACCGGGGTTAAAGTCAAAATGCAGCCTGCAGGAGGCGAGGAACGGCCGGCAGTCCACAGCCGTGCCATTGAAGAGCTCGGGGGAACCCAGGCGGACCTGACGAGGCGGAGTGGGAGCCTGCGGAGTGGGAGCCTGCTCCAGCCTAGAGAGGCGTCCATGGAGTTGTTGCATTCCGGACAGGCAGCCGTGTAACTCCCAAGCCAGTACAGCAAGTTCACCTCCACTTGCCGCGTCCTCATCTGACCCAGGTAAGGGAACGTTGGCAGCTGGTATTCCTCCTGCTGGGTTGGTCATGGTGGCGTTGTAATGTCACGCGAGGGTACACAGGAATAAACCCAAATGCAGGAGACAGGATGACCAGATCCGATACTGATTACTTTTAATAACAAAAAGTCACCACATAAGTGGGAAAAGGACTTCACGGGTAATACAAAACAAAACTACCACAGACTCGAAACAAAGCTATGCTCTAAACACCAGAAACTCTTCACAACAACGCCACACCATGCACAGGAAGCAGCTGCTTAAATACATGGTGTGGCAATCAGGAAATTGCAGTCAGCTGCGGCATTCCCCGATGCTCCAAAGAGGGGCAGGAACAGCAGGAAGAGCCACAGCCAACCTACACAGAGAAAGAAAAACACGCATTACAATCAGGAGGAGTAACCCATAACAGATCCATACTGGGCCAGGAGGGTGTTCTGATTCTAAAACCGAAGATAGCAAAAAATGAAAACTGAGAACCAAGAAAACACTGGAGTAATGGTGGTGGAGTCTTACTGTACGAAGTGTGGGTCTGAGCTGGAGAGGGAGGCAAGTCAGGTCTGGGCTGGAGATGGTCTGGTGGAGAGGAGTAGCAGGCAAAGGAGTAATCCAGGACAGGTGAGAGGTGGAGAGCGGGAGACCAGAGGAGTTGAGCGGCGTTGGGAAATATATCCACTTCAGACTGCAGGAAGCTGAGGGTAAGAATCCAGGGCTGGTACTGGAGCAGACAAGGAGAGCAAAACTGAGCACACGGGAGAAAAACACGAAACTAGAGTCAAAGAGGAACAAGGAGAGCTAGAGTACCCAACAATAGAGTATCAACCGGCACTGAAGTGTGGCAACACCGCTCCTTATATCCTCTGGCCTGGCTGAATGATAATCAGCTGCAGCTGCGGCTCTCCAACCTGCTCACCTGCAAACACTCAGGAGCACAGCCGCAGAGAAAAAGCAGAACCATGACACAATAGAACAGTCTGTGTGTGACATCATGAAGGAGGCCTTTAATCTGTAAGATTCCATTAATGAAAGTGTTTTATTAATATTAAATTAATATTAATGCTAATATAATAACTATTAGTATTAATAATAATAACAATAATTACAATACTAATACTAATAATAATAACACTAACAAACACAATAGAAGAATCTGTGTGTGACATCATAAAGGAGGGTTTTAACTTGGTACATTCAGAGACTATAAAAGGCCCACCAGCAGCAGCAGCACCACTTCAGTCTTTTCAGAGCTACTGCTGAGGACACACCACTGTCTTTAGACACCCAAGTAAGTTTGACCAAACCCTTTTTTTCACTCAAATGATGAACAGAAGAAACGTGTCGTGGTACGACTCACATCTACACCCAGAAGAAATGGATTATGAGTCAGACATGGACTTTGTTTCTGACAGTGAGGGTGAAAACTCAGAACTACTCTCAGAAATTGAAGAGATGGAAAATGATATGTTTGATGAAAACGTGTCGTGGTACGACTCACGTCTACACCCAGAAGAAATGGATTATGAGTCAGACATGGAAAATGATATGTTTGATGAAACAGAACATAAATCCGTCTTTGATGCTGAGGTAGAGTCTCTTCAATATGAGACTAAATTACCTGCTGAAATGGAGTTCCCTGGATCTGAGACGGTCTACTCTGATTCTGAGACGATGGTCCCTAGATCTCAGATGGTTCAGCGGGAATTAGCTGGTTTTAAACGCCCAAGAAAGCCACAACAACCCCTTACTTTCGGTGAAATGACGAACAGCACAAACATGTCCTGGTACGACTTATGTGTCAACAACGTAGAAGTGGATTATGATTTAGTCATCGACTTTAGTTCTGATGGTGAGAACGAAAAGTCAGATCTACTGTCTACAACTACAGAGATGGAGTCTGAGATGCCAGAACAAACATCTGTCTTTGATGCTGAGAAAGAGTCTCTTCTTAATGAGACTCATTTATCTGCTGAACTGGAAATCTCTGGATCTGAGACGGTTGTCCCTAGACCTCAGGCGGTTCAGCAGGAATTAGTTGATTTTAAAAGCAGGCAAATTGATGACCTTTTGAAACAAGTGGATCATTTGAAAGAAAACCTGCAGAATATAAATACTTGTTTCAATCAGGAGGAGAAGAGGCTTGCTGCAAAGAACCAGTGTGTGCTTTACAAGGAGCAAACTAAAGAGATGGAGAACAGTTTGGTTCAGCAGCAACAAAAGCTGGTGGCTTTAGAAAAGCAGTTACAGGAGCAGAAAAACGTGAATGAAGATTTACAAGAAATCTGCTCAGATCTAAAAAGTGAGACAGACGAGTCCCGTTTTTCTGGAGTCTCGAGAGACGTTCTGATCGAGAACTTTAAAAAACTGGAGGAACGACATTTGGACTTAGAAGCAATGTTTAGCAGAGAAAAAGATGAGAAAATCAGCGTAGAACAGAAGTTGACTGACAAGCTGGAGAATTTAAAGGAGCAGCTTTCAGAAAAGGACATTTTCATCAAAAATCTGCAAACAGATTTAGATCAAGAACGTCGGTTCAGACTCGTTAGTGTCCAGGAGCAGAAGAACGCCCAGCATAAAGTCACCGTCAACGAGAACTATAAGAAGGAGATCAAAGATCTTAAGAAAAGAACCGGGTACCTCTCTGAGTTGCTGGACAACATTAAAACGGATATGAAGTACACAGAGAGGATACTTCTGGAAGAACGAAATGATTTTAAACATCAGCTCAAACAGAAGAATCTAATCTGTGAAAGTTTAGAGAAACGTTTGAACAAAGAAAACGAGCTCCGTCTGACCTGTGAGGAAGAACTCAAAAAAACTAAAGATCAAATGAGTTCAATGAACGGAAATCTCAAGAAGGAGATCAAAGACCTGACTCAGAGCAACTCAGAACTCAGAGTGGTTGTGGAAAACCTGACTGCTGAGAATGCTGCATCTCACCAGGAGTTGGCTGATCAGCAGGAGAGAGTCAAACATCAACTCCAGGATAAATCTGTCGTCTGTGACCTTTTGAAACAAGTGGATCATTTGAAAGAAAAACTGCAGAACAGAAATACTTGTTTCAATCAGGAGAGGGAGAAGAGGATTGCTGCAGAGAACCAGTGTGCGCTTTACAAGGAGCAAACTAAAGAGATGGAGAACGGTTTGGTTCAGCAGCAACAAAAGCTGGTGGCTTTAGAAAAGCAGTTACAGGAGCAGAAAAACGTGAATAAAGATTTACAAGAAATCTGCTCAGATCTACAAGGTGAGACAGACGAGTCTCGTTTTTCTGGAGTCTCGAGAAACGATCTGATCGAGAACTTTGAAAAACTGGAGGAACGACATTTGGACTTAGAAGCGATGTTTAGCAGAGAAAAAGATGAGAAAATCAGCGTAGAACAGAAGTTGACTGACAAGCTGGAGAATTTAAAGGAGCAGCTTTCAGAAAAGAACGTTTTCATCGAAAATCTGCAAACTGATTTAGATCAAGAACGTCGGTTCAGACTCGTTAGTGTCCAGGAGCAGAAGACCGCTCAGCATAAAGTCACCGTCAACGAGAACTATAAGAAGGAAATGAAAGATCTTAAGAAAAGGAACGGTGACCTCTCTGAGATGCTGGACAACGTTAAAACGGATATGAAGAACAGAGACAGGAAACGTCTGGAAGAGCAAAATAATTTTAAGCATCAGCTCAAACAGAAGAAGGTAATCTGTGAAAGTTTAGAGAAACGTTTGAACAAAGAAAACGAGCTCCGCCTGACCTGTGAGGAAGAACTCAAAAAAACTAAAGATCAAATGAGTTCAATGAACGGAAATCTCAAGAAGGAGATTAACGACCTGAAACAGAAGAACTTGGAGCTCAGTCAGACGCTGAGAAGTGGTCAGGCTGTAGAAACTAAATCAGAACAGATGTGTGAGGATCTGCAGAAGTTTAAACAGCTGCTCCATGAAAAAATATCCATCTGTGAAGAACTTAGCAGCAGTCTGGACATGGAGAAGCAGCTCAGAGTTAGCTACGAGGCTCAGCTGGACTCTAACAGGGCAATAGTCTGTGAGAACTCAGATCTTAAAGAGCAGATCAAAGATCTGACTCAGAGCAACTCAGAACTCAGAGTGGCCGTGGAAAACCTGACCGCTGAGAACGCTGCTTCTCACCAGGAGTTGGCTGAACAGCTGGAGAGAGTCAAACATCAACTCCAAGATAAATCTTTCGTCTGTGAAAACCTGGAAACAGGTTTCACCAACGAACAGAAGCTCAGACTCCAGCTGTACCAGCAACTCCAGGAAACATCTGGCCTGTGTGAGAGCCTGTAAAACCAGCTTAGAGACGAGCAGAAGATCAGACTTGGTTTGGAGACTGAGCTCGCCCAAAACAGAGACGTGGTCAGTGCAGGTCATGATGATCTGATGACCAAACTAGAACAGATGGAGGAAAATGAAACTAAACTTGATAGGTTTTTTCGGTATTTAATGTTCCCTTTTGAGTCCTAAAGAATGTCTGTAAAGTCATCGTTAACCTCCAGTTAGATCAGCTTAGAAGCAAAAAGCAGCACGAGCAAGAGTTGGGAATCCTGAAGGAACAAGTCTCTGAACTCGAGTCACTGACTACAACTCTGGAAAGTCAAAATCTGATCTTGAGACTAAAGACTGAGCGTTTTAACCCAGATCAGCAAACCGAAACGATCAGTGAGCAGAACGTGGACGCTGCAGAAGGAAACAAGAGTCTTCCTGCTGAAAACGACTCTTTAGCAGAAAGCCTCGAGTCCCAGAGAGACGCTCCACACTCAGACACAAAAAAACAGGAAAAAGTTTCTGTGTGGAGGCATTTCAAGAAATTTGTAACCCCGGGATGTCTCCGTCAGCACAAAAACAAACAACCTAGCAACTAACCTCCCTGCTGACAAATCAGAAAAGGCTAATTAGAAGACATCCCATCTCCTGGTGGCAGTGGGCAGCACTGTCCAGGATGAATCTGAGAAGTTAAACCAGCCACTGCCTCCCCAAAGACCCTGTTTAGATAAATAAACAAGACACCCCCCCACCCCGGATCACAGCCACATACAGTTGTTGCAACACATTCTTACTCCCAACGCGTCAAAAACAAACGCTTGGTCAGCCACCCTCCGCCTCAGACCCCTGACACCAAAAGTGCCCTTTTTCGTTACTTATGTGTGAAAAGGGGTTTTTCCCTTTTCTAACTGCAGATCCCAATGCAGCGTAAAACTGACGCGATGGGATGTCCGCAGCCAGGGCACCAAACAAGCTCATTGTGTCTCACCCTAACCTTGTCCTCTTATTTAACCTCCCCCCCACCCCATCCTAACCTTAACCCTCTTGCTAGCGAACACGTTGTTGATGTGTCGGTCGCTCCAAAAGCCGGCTCTATGAAGTGAACGGCAGGAGCCGCCTCATCATTGGTCGAGTTTGGACCGAGCCAACGTGAGGGGGAGGTTTCAACTACCAAGGTGGAGGTTAAAAGTAGAGGGTGTTTGAAACCTCCCCCTCGCCAGATGGTATGTTCTAACGTTCCCCTTGGGCGGCAAATACGAAAATTCACAGTCAGAATGCATGGGAAACAAATGCTTGACCACAGTGAGAGTAACGTTTTAGGTAGCAAGAGGGTTAAGGTTAGGATGAGGGAGAGGGGAAGGTTGTAAATAGTGAAACGTTAAGGTTTAGGTGCGGTTAAACGAGCTGGTTCGGTGCCGCATCAGCGGACATCCCATCGCGTCAGTGTAACGCTGCACTGGGATCTGCAGTTAGGAAAGGGAAAAACCCTTTTCGCACATAAGTAACGAAAAAAGGGCACTTATGGCGTCAGGGGTCTGACGTGGAGGGTAGCTGACCAAGCGTTTGTTTTTGGCGCGCTGGGAGTGAGAATGTGTTGGTTGTCGACGCATGACTGCCCGTTGGCCCCTTGTCATCTTCTTCCACATCATTGATGTGAGTGCATACAATGCATTCGTGATGTGGAGAGAGATAAAGACTGGAATGGGGAGAAACTGAGCCAAAGGAGGATTTTCCTGGAGCAGCTTGGTAATGCACTGGTTTAACCAGGGACGAAATTTTGATTTCAGAAGTGGGGGGGACACAGCAGGCTTGTGCGGATTTGGGGTGGGGGGTGTTATGTAAAGACCCCTTGACACGTCACGTGCCCATCTCAATAATTTTTCCATCCTCAATATATATATATATCAAAGTTAAAAAATGTACAACTCTATTATTATTTTTATTTATTATCATTATTGAAGTGCAGTTTTGGCTGTTGACAATGGATAGGCCATTGTATTTATTGTTTTTGGGTCTTTTTTGTTTTTGGTGCAACATTTTCTAACAGGGAGTGAGATTCCTTTTTTATTAAATTTTTGTTTGTTATTTTTATTCATTTAGAAGTTCTGGTTCTGGACATTTCAATGTTAAATGAAGGTTTATTTGTTGCATTTTAAAGGGTTTACTTGCATTATTATGATATATTAACATTATATTAGTGGTTATTTTGGTCTAGATAATGTTGACAATGATATCGTTTATCATCAACAATTTGTTGGACAAAATATCGTCCAGCAAAATTTGTTACTTTCCCAGGCCTAGTCAAAAGTATAAAAATTATTTATACATAAACGGTCCCTCCTGAGATCTGGCCGTTTGTTCATTTGCTGTGTTAGAGGACATGCTGAACTAATGTTTTACACATGATCATCACCCTAACATTTGAGTGTATAAAAACATATTAAATATGTTTTTCCCTTAAAAGTGTTTAAACAGTTGTTGCATTTAAACACACAAAAAATAAATGGAAAAAAATAAGATAAATCTAATGAAAAGTGTACATCTTTGACATTAAGCTTAAAAAAATCTGTTGACGATGATGATACTGTTCATTTTTCAGAGCTTTTTAATGTGAACATATACATTGCAATAGATAAGTTTACAATAAAGTTAAATGATAAAAGTTTTGAAGTTACACTTCTACTACTACTACTACTAGTAATAATAATTATGATGATAATAGTAATAATAATAAAACAATAATTATTATAATAATATGAATACATTGTGTCTGAGGAGTCAGTTATGTGGAGGAGATGAGTTTGTAAAAGTTAGTTTTGAATATGTTTGTGAAGGAGGAGGTGAGTCTGAGCTTAATGCAGGTCTGTCACATGTTCCAACTTACGTTTTGACTTTGAAAGAAGTCTCTTATATCCACTTTTCGTTTTCTTGACATGCTGCCTCCTGGCTGTGCCTAACTACCAAAGACTCACAAATGAACACTTATTCAAATGTTATGTAATGGAAGCTGAGCTGAGCTCTGATATTACACAGCGTCTAGTTGACGATGTGACTCAGTACCGGTGTTCCCTAGCGGCTCCAAACTAGAAAAACAACGTGAGTACGTGCTGACTGTTTACAACTTGAGTGACAGCAGCAACAGCCAATAATACGTTAGCAAGTATCAGCAGAGCCAATAGATTAGCTTTTGGGCGGGTCTAATAGGAAACCGGTTTCCGTGTCGGTCCTAGTGCTCAACCAAATCCATTTAATGGAGCGTAACATTGTTTTTGGACGGAAAAAAGTGCAGGGGACCAAAACTGCCTTTTGAAAAAGTGGGGGGGACATGTCCCACCCGTCCCCCCCCAAAATTACGTCCCAGGGTTTAACCTCAGATTGAGAGAAGACCGTGCCTTCCAAGAGCATCAACGGCTGCTGTAGCTGTTGTGAGAGACATACAGACAGAAACAAACACCCAGATTCCTCCAGTGGCACAAACAGCAGGCAAGAAGCGTGGTAGGTGCCAGGTATGCCCCACCCTCAATGACTCTAAGACTAGCATGACCTGTTTGAAATGCAAGAAATGTGTCTGCAAGGAGCATGCACACACTCTCTGCACATCCTGTCTACAGTAGTGCAAACTAAAATTTTGACTGTGGGGATAGACTGTTCCATGTTCTGCCTGATGTTCTCATTATGATTTTCTGTTTCAGAGATGGGTGAACTTTAAAACATGCAATCCCCCAACACACAGAAAACAAAAACAAAATATAAAAAGCAAATAAATAAATAAATAAATCATAAACTAAAATAAAAGCAAAAAAAAAAAACTCTCTAACTTTGCCACTGCTGGTCCCAAGCCCAGATAAAAAAGAGGAGGGGAGAGTTTGACTTTCTAACTATGTGACAAAAAACAGATGAAAATAAATAAATATGTTCACAAGAGGGAAAAGGGGGGTCACCAACATCAGGGTCACCAACATCAATCATTATGGTTCATTCTGTGAGAATCATGAATGTGCACCCTAAATTAGTAAAGATCTGGATGAAAGATTTGTAAGATACACTAACTCTAAAGTTTGACCTGACGATGGCGCTGCAGGAAAGGTCATATCATCACAAAAACCCGTTAAGGTTCATAATCTTGTGATCATTAATGTTGTTAGAAAATATGAGAAGATTTGTATCAAAACTTTTCAAGATACATTTATTTTAACTTTGGTCTGATGCTTTTTGTTTGGCCTGCTGGTGGCGCTAGAGAACAGGTCAGCTTTCACTTTCAAGGGCTTATTTATATATTTTACATAAATACATACAATGTATTCAAATTTTACATAGAAAACCGTTAAGCGTAGTTTCTGGTCAGCAGAGGGATACAGAGTGCTGTCCAATGTGAAGCTGCTAAAGATTTTGTGAAAAATCACTGAAACCAGTTTTAAAGCTATAGCTAAAAGTGTTAACTCTTTAGCATCGCTTTAATAAACCTTCATAAATTGTGCAATTTTTTTGTTGTTTTGATTTTAGAAATTATATTCCTCTTTTAAAGCTGTTACAGCAAATCTACAAACAAGCTTTGAACACAAACACGGCCATGGCACACATGGACGTTATGGTGAGTTCAATTTACCTCAGAAAATATACAAATGCACATAACATCAACTTTAGATGGACCCTTACATGTTAATCTTGTAAAATAAACACGTTTGTACTACAGTTACAATTGTTATTACAACCAACTGCTACATTGAACCTCACAGTTGGATTAAAAAACATTCTCTGACTCCAGCAGCAGAAATATCAGCCATTATTCTGCTCTGCGATATGAAGGTTGGATGAGAATGCAGGGTACCAGCTCCATGTCTCCTATTCATGTGTCGCTCATCCTGCCTTTACTTCAGCAGGTTGGAGCAAATGGATTGGTCTTGGCTGCTAAAGCATCACCTCACCTCCCTGCTCCTCCTCTAGGCTGATATCTTGGTGACAAATGAAATCTCGAAAGGAGACTGGAGTGAAGTTCCAGGAACACAAATAAACCAAAAGATTATTAAGAGTTAAAAAGGCAAAAGGGGTCGAGTTTAAAGGCAGTGGTATACATTATTCATCACAGCTATCAGGACAAATGATCATTTCTTTACTGAAACTGAGAAGGCCGAGGCTCTCTAATTAAAGCATCAAGTCTTATTTAAAGCTGAGTTGTGCAGTCAGGTGTTCTCTGTGACTCTCATTCTCACTTCTGCACCTGTTGACAGGTGTTTTGTCCCACTGCTCATCAGCAAAGTGTTCTAAATGCTTCTGAGAATGTTTTTTTTTCTGTTTATTTTTTCCAACCACAATTCAAAAGCAAACGTTTTATTTCAACACTAAAGACCAGTTCATTATTTAGTCCCCCCCGTCCAAATCTTTTCAATCCAATTTCTGTGCCTTTGGGGATCCATTTTTATTTGATTTAAAGGGATACTTAGCAACTTGTTCTTTTCTAGAGCCAGTACGTACTAAAATGACCCTTTACTGGGTTAATGAAAAGCCACCCAGACCCTATCGCTGCCTGTGTTCAGGATGTCGCATGTGCAACTTCCCAGTTGCCGGTCTGTTTGGACCAAGCCCCCATAATTCTGCAAGGAAATTGAAGCCAACAAGGAAGTGGCATAAACTGCAGTTCCACACTCATCCTCTAGGGGGTGGCAGCAGAAGTGAGCAAATCCTTATTGACTCCCATGTTAAAAATGTCCGTTTCACAGCAGAAATAAACATGT